ACTGTTATTATTTGTGCCCTATGTATATTGGGATGATTTAAGTGCCATGCTTTAAGCTTTAGCATCAAATGACCAAAGAGTTAATAAAAAGATTCATACAACCGCAAATAACTGAACGGCTGGTAAATAACGAAGACTAATGAGTTTGTCTTGCGTTCCATTCATAAAGAATTTTATAATCATTGGTTGTCTCAATATGGTGGATTTGTACAAGGTAACAGTAGCTTTCGTAAATATATAACACGATTCTATTTCTGTTAGCTTCTTTTACATATCTTCTCTGTTATTTAAACCTTGTGCCAGATAATATAAATTCAATTATTATCCAGTATACTAAGCAGCTGCTTAGCAATCTCAACTTGAATATCTTTTCTAACGAGCTTGATCCACACTGTGGGAACGTTTTAGACAAAGCTAATATTTAATTTATTTATGATGTCAGATTTAAACTCACCGGAAACGACATGAATTAAATCATATTAAAAAAGAGCAAGAAATTATATCCCAAGACATGGACAATAGAACGGAAAGAATTTACCAACATAGATTAACGTGTTCAATTCCATAAAGACAAACTGTATCAAGAGAGACCTAAAGAAGGCCGAAGACAGAATGGCCGAAACGTTGTGATAATAAAAAAGAAGACAGTAGTCTGAATGTAATATAAGGTAAATAATGAAATCATCATAGTCACGGTCACGAATGTTACACATGCAAAGGTGTGCACTATGAAATTAATGACCGATACTCTTCGAAGTGACATGTAGATATTTGATATCGAACAGATTTATAATGACGTTCATTTGATCTCTGCTTAGCGTAGATTAGTTATGGGTCAACGGCACAAACGTGTTATATCTAATGAGTAATCAGATGACCATTAAACCACGATCAGAGGCTGTAGACAAGAATCAGGACCAAATAGAGCCAAACAGAAATTCGTATACAGCACACCCAAATTACATAAAATCAAGCGTTAGATATAATTTAATAAATTACGTGTTCCCCAGTGTAATCATTCACAACACACCATCAAATACAAGCACGTCTTATCTTAATTTTATTTTTTTGCTAATATGAAAGTAATATGTTCGTTTGTAATGCATTATTCTGGTGTCAGTTTTGTTAATAAAGATTAAAGAAATAAAATGGTTTTGCTATTTATACATGGCATCACTATTGTTTTTCATCACTTCTGGAAGAGTAGCGAGATCAAGTTGTGGCTTTGAAAGGAGTATAAACAAGGAAAAAGTTAAGAATCACTGTATTAGGCTAAAGCTAAGAAAGTGTTGAGGGAAAATAAATCTTAATCAGTTTATTTGTAAAGATGCAGTTCAACGTCACAATATAATATTTTTTTTTTATCTTCTAATGCATATCTCACAATTTTGTTTGCCTTCGCCCATCCGGATTACAAATGTAGATTTGCAGTATAAAATTTCCATGTTCACTTATTCAATTTGCTCGTAAAGAATACTTGCTGTGTTTGACCTTAACCCTTTCAAGTAGTCCTTATAAACAAAAGCTTATTCCAGAGACTGTCTTATATCATTGGGCGTTTGATTTGCAAATTGATAAAGGTTAAAGCTACGAACTTAAATTCTTTTCAAAAGAAATATAACAAAGAGATTTATAGTGATATTTTATTCGTTTATTATTCGAAATTTATGTCTGTGTGTTTGAAACTCTATAAGTTAAAGGTAATAGTTCTATAATCCATTATATAGATCCATTCAAAACTATTGTTCACTGAGTTGTTTTTGATGAAGAACTTTGGTTGGACCCTAATAGAAATCTTGATTTAGATATCTTTATCTTAGCATCAGAGACACGTTAGTTTTTTGAATTCAGAATTGTCCTTCTTGGAGACTAATTGCAAACCACGGTTACAGAACCCATTCTGCGCTGTTATTTAACCCATAGCGGCGGGAAAGATAATAAGATCAGCACTGGAATTCGAAATTGGCTCTGCAGTTTCTCCTTCAGTGGCGTAAGTCATTACACCACCCACACTTCTGTAAATATTTAAGCAAATAAGTAAATATATGACCTTAGTTGTCTGTTCTTGTCTATGTAAATATTATGTAAATCTCAGTTAACAATCAATATAATATTTTTGACAGTCTGACAAGTTATAACTTGATGGAGATAATTAATTTAGATATATTCATATTGTAATATCAATTTAAAAAATAGCTTTTTTATTATTCATTTCCAGTCTGGTATTTTCTATAAGAATAGGTGATTGTTTGACTCTTGTTTATGTGAATATCAAATTAATTGTTTAGTTATTCAAATAAAATTCTTTTCTTCTCTAGAAGGCGCAACGACCTCGGCGTTTCGATCATTGCTTGGAAGGAAATTGAAGTATGCAATTTATAAAGATAAATAATATAGTATATTTTGAAAATTTAACATATATTATAAATAATGATATTATTGATATAATAACGCGTTAATGGGCGGACGGAACGGAATAGCTGCAAGAAAAGGAATGACAAGCATGCCTTTTTTTTTCCTCAGAGTTTAATGCCGCAAAGACATACAATATTATATGCACGTATTAACACGTGTCTCATCCCAAAACTATAAAATATGTATCCGCAATAAGAAGAGCGAAAATTGCGATATATGGTCTTAGTTTTGTTAATTCATTACGAGAATTAGTGCTGTTGGTGGATTCATCTGTGTTTCTGGAGAACCTATATTTCGAATACCCAACATATATTTGAACGACCAGGATTTCTCTCCTCTGTCACTAGTGGGGATATATTCATCAAACAGGAAACATCGAATCATGCATTTTTATCAACATGAGGTGTGTGAGCCGGGTATGGTTTCTGGATCAAGTGAAGATATATTCCCAAAAGAAAATGATACTATGGTCTTGTGAGCAGACCCATTGGCGGCTGACCCGAGACGAGGCAGGTTTAGCCTCAGTCCATACTAAAAAATAAAGCAAACGCTCTATTTGATTCCTGGCAGATGACTGATGGACTGACAACTTTCGTTACACCATGAAGTGACGTCACTAAGCGAGACGTCATCTCGACCAAAAGGAGATAATCAAAGGTATTTCTTTTGTTCTACAGTGCGACGCAATAGTTTCTTAGGGATATTTTCGTATGCCGAAAAAGGGTATAATAAATAATGTCAAAATTAAATCAGTTTATACATTTACAAATGTTAATTGTCGTTTATTACACTATAATCTCCTTTTTTTAATACCTACATTATAATAACTACTCATTGTAACTGCTCCGATGAGCTGCTTTCGCTGGTTCCCAAACTCCATGAATTTAAGTGTTCTACTAGGCTGGCATCTCGCTCACACCGTTTCACTGTCGAAACTGTTAAATGTAGCCGTCTCTTCTACTCCAATAGTTTCATTTCTCGCACCTCTCGCATGTGGAACTTCATTCCTTTTTCAAATGTTTCCTTGATAGCTATAATCTCCAACTATTCAAATGTAATGTCAATCGACGTCTCCAGATGCCTTGATCTATTCTCTATCCTTCTCTTCATCCTTTTCTCTATCACTCCTATTTGCTCTCGCTCCAACTCTCTGTAACCCCTTACGTGCTAGTGGCTTCTCGCTTTGCTTGGGGTGAAACGCTTAAAAAAAAATAATCTGTTCATGAAATAAACGACAAATAATATTTCTAAATGTATAAAACTGATTTAATTTTGACAATATTTATTATAACCTTTTTCGGTATACGAAAATATCCCCAAGAAACTATTCGACGCACTGTAGAACAAAAGAAAGACCCTTGATCAACACAAAGCTGGGTATCATTACTTAGCAGACAATAATGTTGAATATATTCCTAGACTTTCAATTTAACAATTGTCACATTTTAACCAACTTTATTCTTACGTCACATTTTGGTATTTTCTTCTTAAAAAAAGTATATATCTAGCAATGAATTCGCAACTTATTTCATATCATACATTAATAATAATAATCACCATAACACTCACACATACGAGTATATATATATATATATATATATATATATATATATATATATATATATATATTAATTAACAAATTCAGAGCATTTTTAATTAAAAAAACTCCCATTGTATCTACAGAACGTTGCTTAATACAGCAGATATTTATTAATAATTTGTTCTGCAATTACTAATTTTTAAGATCGATTTTGATTAAAAAATGAGAAAACATTTCAACTGTAGTGATAAACCACATTAAAACCAATGTAAATATTTACAGTCGATGGTTGACGCAGGCTCTGGAAAAGGAAGTAGAAATTCCTACAGACATCAGAAATCTCTTTCAATGTAAACAGACAGCTTAGGAAAAAGTAGCCGTAAAGACGCCTGGTGGCATCTACTTAAATTATTAACAAATAACCTTTAAATTCTACGTGACAAATTTTAAATTTCTCCGTTTATATTTTAGTGTAAATGACATATTTAGCTTTAGAGAAATGATTTACTTACAGTGTGTCAATCATTCTTTTTGCCAATGGCGTATCAGCAAGCGGTTTGTCTTGCTATATCAATTCTGTATCTAATTATGTGTAAGTGTATTATCTGTCCAATGATCTTTCTGGCGGTTCAATCTCGCACAACCATGCACCCACCTAAATATCAATAAAGATATACATATTAAGATTAATCTTTAAAGGTATGTATTAAGATTGGGTTTGAATTGACATTAGGCCACAAAAGTCATGTATGAAAATAAGTTTGAATTCGCAAGGAAGCACAAACAAGACTAGGTTAGTAACAATACTATATGCACACAAATCAATCAATCAATCAATCAATTAATCTATCTATCTATCTATCTATCTATCTATCTATCTATCTATCTATCTCAATCTGTTCATCTATCTATCTATCTATCTATCTATCTATCTATCTATCTATCTATCTATCTCAGTCTGTTCATCTATCTATCTATCTATCTATCTATCTATCTATCTATCTATCTATCTATCTAGGTTAGTAACAATAATATATGCACGCAAATGTATCTATATATCTATCTATCTATCTATCTATCTATCTATCTATCTATCTATCTCATTCTGTTCATCTATCTATCTATCTATCTATCTCTCTATCTATCTATCTCAATCGGCTCATCTATCTATTTATCTATCTATCTATCTTTCTCAATCTGCTCATCTATCTATCTATCTATCTCAATCTGTTCATCTATATATTTATCTATCTCATTCTGTTCATCTATCTCTCTCTCTCTCTATCTATCTATCTTTCTCAATCTGCTAATCTATCTATCTATCTCAATCTGTTCATCTATCTATCTATCTATCTATCTCTGTTCATCTATCTACATATCTCAGTCTGTTCATCTATCTATCTATCTATCTATCTATCTATCTATCTATCTATCTATCTCAGTCTGTTCATCTATCTATCTCATCTAGGTTATCTAACAATCTATCTATCAAAGGTTAAATCAATCTATCTATCTATCAATCCATCTATCTATCTATCCATCTATCCATCTATCTATCTATCTATCCATCTATCCCAGTCTGTTCATCTATCTATCTCAGTCTGTTCATCTATCTATCTATCTATCTATCTATCTATCTATCTATCTATCTATCTATCTCAGTATGTTCATCTATCTATCTATCTATCTATCTATCTATCTATCTATCTATCTATCTATCTATCTTAGTCTGTTCATCTATCTATGTAGCTATCTATCTACCTATCTCAGTCTGTTCATCTATCTATCTATCTATATCTATCTATCTATCTATCTATCTATCTATCTATCTGTTAATCTCAATCTATTATCTATCTATCTATCTATATCTCATCTATCTATCTATCTATCTATCTCAGTCTATTCATCTATCTATCTATCTATCTATCTATCTATCTCTTCATATTTACTTATTTATTTATTCTCAGTTCGGAGCTTCAGATTGAGGAAATGGTGAGCCGAGTTCGAATTCCAGTGGAGTTCATTACTTTCACTAATTACTCTTGAGAAATGTATGAATCCAACTCTTCTCCCCATCTATGGGTAAAATAGCAAGAAAGAGTGGGTTCTGTACTCTTACTCGTGATACCCGTATAGGAGAAGAAAACTCAGAATTCAAAACTGCATGTAGCTCTGGCAAAACACATACGATGCAGTTAAGTAAAGGGTCTCGACGATCCTGACTACGACCGATTCCCTTTTTTCCAGTCAGCAAATTCATTTAAAAAAAAAAACTGTAGGTGTAATTCGTACATTTAAAAACAAACAGGGCTTTTAACTGTTAGAGAATATGGGTATACAAATAAAATAATGAAATTAATATCAATACTTCTCTTGCTATCAGTTCTTCTATGTGGCAGTGAACGCTGGACATCTCCTCAAAGGTGAATATGAGACTTGATGCAACTGAAACGTGGTTCTGAAGAAGGATGCTTAGTAGACAATGGACTGTAAATGTGAGGAACGAGAATGTTTTAAAGAAAATGGAAACAGAAATGATGTTTATAATTAAAATCAGAAACGGTTGGAATTTCATGCGACACATAATGTGGAAAGATGATTTAGCGAATTTGATTTGATATTGCAGAACAGTTCAGCATGGTTTTCTTTGTTTTTAACGAAGATTTTGCTTAGACTTTGGAAGACATCTTTTGCTAATCCAATGTACCTTCTGGTTTCGCTGTCATATTTTCAGTCCCCGTTAAAACACTAGTATTTAGCTTCCCAACAAAGCCGACAATATACAAAAAAAAGAAGAAAAAAATGCAGACGATGACTATTCTTAAAATGGTTTATTCAAGGATACTAAACGGTAAAACTTATTTATTAGTTTAAGAATTTTTTACTATAAATTTGACTGAACCTTAAATGATGCATATGTGCAAGAAAATAATTCAATATTTTTATAATATATATATATATATATATATATATATATATATATATACTAGCAGCCATCCCAGCTGTTCGATCAGAAAAAAACGTTCAATTATAATGGAGTAAATGCAGCATGATTAGATGTAACAGAGTCTATCTTCTTCAATTACTTTAAAGTACTTTAATTAAAAAACATTTTGAATTAATGCAGTTACTGATTTAACAGAAGGAATTCGTATTTATTCGATCGAAGTTAGCCGAGGACATGAAAACAACATGAAGACCCACTTAAGACCACAATTAAATGAAATTTAATTTGTCAGTGTGCTACCAGGGATGTAAAAGAAGATACATTTACAAAGCAATTGTTAAGTTTGATGAAAATTAGTTAAAATAAAAAAGAAATCCAGTAAAAATCACCATTTTTCGCTATTTACGCGGGTTTTCATTATATGGGTGGACTCAGTTATCAAGTTAAAAAACTGTTAAACAATAAAATTATTGTTGACTACAGTCGAGTGAAGTTTGCACTAGATTGCTTGAAAATTGAGGGAATTTTAGTTTAAAATGTATGCTGAAATCAATTTGTGTTGAAATCGATTTTTCGTTTTTCGCGTTTAGCTCGCCATGATTTAAGTAACCTACATACCGAGTTTGAACTAAATCGGAGGAAAAAAAAATTGTATTAATTTTTGATCGGCTTTATCGATTATTGACTTTTTTAAAAATTTTCGTTTTTTTACGCTAAAAACCTAAAAACATTGATCTCGAGTGAAAAGGTATCATACAGATTCAGACATCCTATGTTTTCTAGCGATTTTCCAAACGTATCTTAGACGAGGCACAAGGCCGAAAGTAAGGGACACCCAGTGAGGATGGAACTCACGACTCTCTCGTTATTTTTCTAGCGAGACAAGCTCGCGGTGCTCAAATGCTCTGTTTTTTACAGATAAAAACAAAACAAATCGTTTTTCTACTGTGCATTCTGTTTTTCACTTTTTAAAATTGGAAACTCTTCACCGTTTGTACGCGCGCACAAGACAAGGGCGCGCGGTGGGGTAAGAATTTTCCCCTTACGTGGCAAGATCTCTTTCGGCTGGATAAGAAAGTGTAGCAGTAGAGTGAAGGTTCTGCTTTTGCTCTGTTTTTTATTATTATTATTATTATTCCGCGTCAAAGGACATATCCTCGTATGACATGCCTCAAACCTAACACCTCAGATTACAAAATTATGTTAGAGGATTCCCTGGAATAAAATTGTTCTTTTTAAATAATCTTTGACTCACTTCAGTAAACATCAGACTAGTTTGCACGCAAACGTCTTTGGTGGCGTTATTCTTCCATCGGCGCTAAATGTCCTGTGAGCCAACGTTGATATTTTTCTGCATAGCCTCAATCTGTGTGTTTCTGAGTCAAAGAGTATTGGTTAATAATGAAGCTATTACATGATGTGAATGGAATGCTAACAAAATTGTCCAAGTAGGCAGTTGCCTTTTCCGCTGGGGTTTCAGAATACGCCGACTGCATCTCTGCAGAGAGATAAACCCCACCTCCAAATGAGGCGTGCTCGGTAAGTTTACAAACTACGTAAACTTGCGTAAGACGATAAATAACGTCCAATAGCAAGGCCTCTGATCAGGAGGATTTGAGAAGCGTGGAACCACTTCTTAATTACTGTTGAACCCAGGTCCACTCTGACTCAGAGTGGTAGAACTTGTTAGGCAAATAGTTAACACCCAAACTATTGTCAAAACACTATGGAAGTGTAAAAATAGTTTTTAATGCCAACAATAGATTTTTGAAGAAAAGTTTATTACCATCAATACATTTTTGAAAATAAAATATTACCAATAATACATTATTATGAGCAATATATTTTTGAAGAAAAAATATTACCAGCAATATATTTAAAAAATATATATTATCAGCAATAAAAATATTGTTGGCATTAAATAACCTATTGAGGTTGATATGGCGTAGAACATATCAAACCAAACGAAGTAGGCAGAGACTGTGCGAGTATATGACACAAACATTGTCTTAATACAGAAAGATAGAAAATAGAAAATATTTGCCCTTAAAAAGAAAAGAAAAATCCTGACCTTTATTTTTATATTATTTTAGAAAAAAATTTAGAAGCAGTCGACATATTTTCCTGTCTGTATTTTTCCTTCTGGCATTGAAGGATATCATGAAATTTCGTTGATGCAATGGAGCTGAAATCGCTCAGTATAAACAAATATGGTACTATTCCTGTAAACATTGTAGCCAAAATAGAGATCCATTTATTGCATGAATTAACAGATGTACCTTGTTAGGCATGAAAGAAAATGAAAAGATTTACAGAGATAGGAACTTTTAATAAAACATATATCAGAGCAACCGATTTAAGTATGCACGTACAGACAAACAAAGTATTTTATGTATGCATACTGTATATGCATCGTATATTAACGCGCATTAACATTAACATTCTCACTCAGAATCACTAGAAACAAAATTACTGTTAATAACTCATTCTCGAATTGCCCTCTTATTCAATTTGGAATAGTAAGCCGAAGTGTGCACATCCTACGCATGCCCAACAAACATATTACTATGCCTCACCAGTAAGGGCATGCGCCCCACGTTGAGAATCATTTCATGAGAGAGTGACTGCTGTCCAAATACACACACACACACACACACATCTGTCTATATATTTGTCTGATAGATAGATAGAGAGAGAGAGAGAGAGAGAGGGAGAGATCAAACTCGAAATCTCTCAAAATCCTTTTAGGTAATCCCTTCAAATCTTTTGGCAAATGAAAGGATCATGACATCACAGGCCCTGAAATGCAGAGTGAACCAATTGTAAGTAGGGGCACGTGAGATAACTGTAACAAGACAAGGGCAAGAGAACGGGCAAACATAAAAACGGACGGTTGAGAGAGAAATTGCAAATGTCTAAACAGGGACATGGCATATGAAGCCAAAAGAGCAAAGAATGATGGTGAGGTCAGAAAAAGAAGAGATATGTTAAGATAGGAAATCTCTGTAAATCGAGATACTTAGAGGGAAGAAGAGACGCTATCGTACAAGGGAATGTTATTTTAATGTTCAGGTACGAACATATGCCAACAAAAAGCA